TGTGTGTGTGTGTGTGTGTGTGTGTGTGTATATATATAGATTATTGTCATTAACTGCGCCAAACCAACCTTAAATCAATGAATACACATTACTAATGGCAACACAATCAATATTAAAATGTCACGTTTGTTGACAGGTTTAATACAAAAATGTGAGCACACTGGGGGTTGCGAATGTCAATCATCTCAGTGTTGACTCAATGCGTACACACCTAAGTTACCACAAATATGAACCCAACCACCCACACTAATTAAACCGCAAGAAAGAAAACTCATACAGTTTCAAAGCGAAGCACGTCTAAACTGGCATTAAAATAACGTTACTCTTAGATAACCGTTTGCAGCAGATTGAGAGTGTATGAGTAACTCGGGCGTTTTCAACTTTTCAGATCGCTTTAATGCGGCGTAATTATCTTGCTATCAGTTTTGTCAACAGAAATATTCTCCAGATAACAGCATTTGTTAGTCCTCTTAAAAAATGGTTGGCATTTAAGTAATAATCTGAGCGATCAATCATGAACGTATTATTAGATGCTCAACTAAATTTGGATGCGAGTAAAACATGCTAACACGCTAAACCAGCTAACGTACCCGTCATGACTCCGAATTAAACAAGTAAATATCGTTCGTAACATGAATTTACCGGACAATATATTTGCTACTACACGTGTAAAGATATTGTTTATCTCGCTGTTAAGGGCGTAGAAAGATTAAACTCACCAGTTAGCAGCGGAAGGTAATGTAAACTGTCGTCTGTCACACGGCAGTGCAGTGCGCATTTGACAGGATACGCGGACTCCAAAATAAGTTATAAATAAGCAAACGGCGTAAAGACAGAGTGAAACCACCAACCCCCATAAGAACGATACGCAAACTGCGTAGAAAAAGACCTGTCCATATTTCCAAGAATTTTAGGAGGGGAAGACTTGCCACCTGAGAGACGAGTTCTAGGTTGCACGTCAGACTGGTACAGGATTATACAAATGTGTTAAAAAATACAACAGTCCATAATTACAGCAATTTATTTATGTTGCAAAACACACATTTATTATCTTTTCGCTAAAAATGGTCAATGTAGATCTGTTTGTACAAGATTAGACAACCCTGTAGACCTTTCAGCTTAGAGAGGACAAATATTTCAAAGGCTGTCACATACATGCCAACCAGTAAGGTATCTATAGTAAGATATTCTTACAGACACTAATGCTCTGCATGTACAATAATACATTGTAGACATTTTGTGTATTGCATCTTCACACTTTGCTTTGAGGGTGTAAACATGTATAACCTGTTTGTCTGGTTCAAAGTTCAGGCAAGTCTCTGAATGTGTTACTTCTTGCCAAGCAACAAATTGGCACGGATGACTTTGGGAACGTTGCGAATGGTAAGAGAGACTCTGGTGCTACGGGGCAGCGTGTCCCCCACCTGAGCCCCTGTTGATGAGAGATTCACCACATGCTCTGACAAAATATCCTCACAAACTCCCTGAATACCATGCAGATAAAGCTTGTACATGTCATCCTGGAGAATCAGCAGACTTCTCCGTTGTACGAACAGTGATAGCATGTAGCGTCTTTCTTCTGTTTGAGGAATTTCAGACTGCAGGGAGAGGAGGAGAACTTTAAGAGACTGGTGCGCTTGTGTTTGATAGTTTACCTGAGTTTGTCTGCTGCTACCTGAGTCTGACAAACAGGCTTGTAGAAATCCAGAAGTGTATGAGAACCCAGACTGATAGTTGTTACTGTGGGGTGATACTGTGGTCCATCCTCATGAGGCTGAGAAAGGGGGAACGAAGGCTAAAATGAAAATATTGCGTGTGTTAAAAAATTATAACTACAGGAAATTAAAAGGTAATGCACTCTCTTTACCATAATTCCCTCCCCAGGCTTGTATTCATTTACAAGCACATGATTAGCTATCTTTCCAGCAAAAGCTCCAAGAGCCGATATTTTCTCTGTGTACTTTAGAAGCCAATCAGGGAGTTTCTCAGCAAGCATTCCTTTGGGATTTGGCAATCCACCTGGGAAAAATCAATCAATCAATGTTTTTTTTTTTTTTTTTTTAAATATCCCCTTCAGCTCAGCTACCTACACTGAACTCTTGTTAAAGTGAGAAGTAGTGAATCTATGTCAAGAATTAAAGAGCTACAAGTACATAGGCCACAGCTTCTAACAAATAATTTGTGAAGAAATATTTCCTGTAGACATGAACAGGCAAACATTTTTGATTCCATCAAACAGGAAAAGATAAAGTATATCAGACAGTAGGGATTAACCCTATAGAGCATACTGTATCATATCTGATAGATTACCAACACGATCAAACCTTTGCTGAAGAAGTAAAATGCCCTTTAGTATAATTCTAAAAATGTCCACCTTCAGGTTGTGGTACACATGTCTTTTTGCTGAGAAATCTTTGATCATTTTTATAAAGTAAACATAAGCATAACTTTTATATTGTTCGTAATATTCCAAAATGAACATTTATAAGTAATCTTATTAAGACATATTACGGTTTTTGCTCAGTTTGAGCCTCTGAATAAACTTTTTTTGAAGTTACTGTATGGGCCATAAACGCCTGACACATCAAATATGATACAAAACATTAAAGGGATTGTTCACCCAAAAATGAAAAGTCTGTCATTAATTACTCACCCTCATAACGCAAGACCTTCATTCATCTTCGGAACACAAATTAAGAATTTTTTGATGAAATCCAAGAGCTTACTGACCCTGCAGAGACACAGCAACACAAGTACCACGTTCAAGGCCCAGAAAGGTAGTAGGGACACAACACATGTTTACTAGAGTACCACGATACATGTGTGTGGTGCTGCTGACACAGGAACCGTCGTTCTGACATAGAACGCCAATGCGCTGCGCCTTATTTGCAAGCAGATGAATGCGCACGCATGTGTTGTGGTACTCTTGTGAACATGCATCAAGCACTGACACGCAAGAGAAGAAATTGTTGAATAAAGTCATTATTTTTGTTTGTTTTTTTACATTTAGTCATTTAGCACTTTTATCCAAAGCAACTTACAAATGAGGACAATGGAAGCAATCAAAATCAACAAAAGAGCAACGATATGCAAGTGCTATAACAAGTCTCAGTTAGCTTAACACAGTACACGTAGCGAGTTTTTTTTAAATTATATAATAAATAAAAGAAAACAGATAGAATAGAAAAAGAATAAAGCAAGCTAGTGTTAGAGGCCTTTTCTGCTTTTGTTAATTGTATAATAAATAAAAATTAAAGTTGAACCACTGATGATGTCACAAGGACAATTTTAACGATGTCCTTACTACGTTTCTGGGCCTTGAATGTGTGAGATCCGTTACTGTCTATGTAGGGTCAGAAAGCTCTCGGATTTCATCCAAAATATCTTAATTTGTGTTCCAAAGATAAACGAAGATCTTGTATACGGGTTTGGAAAGACATGAGGGTGAGTAATCAATGACAGAATTTTCATTTTTGGGTGAACTATCCCTTTAAACTTTATTATTATTATCACTGAACTAAAAGTTAAATAATAAACTGTTCTATTGGAAAAATAACAAAATCTGACTATATCAGACTTCACATGCTTAAGTAAGTATTTGCATTGATTAATTGCTTATGTCAAATATAGCTTGTTACTGACCCCAGTTCTGTAGCCTCCTCCCTGACAACTGTGTCCACTTGGGCTTGGGAGCTCTGTATACCTTACAAAAGAGACACAGGCCAGTGTATAAAGCACTGCTGACATGTTATGTAGGTGCAGATAGTAGCATACAGGAAAACCGAGCCATTTAAAAGTCCTACCTGCTGCAACAGATACTCCTCCTCAGCCTCCGTTATACAATTTGGAACATAATAAATAGTTGGAGGAGCCTAAATATAAATCATGTAATTAAAAACAATAATATGCGTCCATTCAAAAACTAAAATGACAAATCTCAAAACTTACCTCCTTCACAATGTACTTTTCCAGGTCAGCAGAAATGTTACATGGATTTGCCATCGTCGTCATTATGTCAATATTTAACCATCACAGATTTATTGGCAATGCAAGAAACTGACTGTCATGACACTCGCGAGTCTCTAAGCAAGCATTCTATGTCTAAAACTTAATTAAAAAAGTCATATTTACAGTAGCATCTATGTTTTAAATCACTGAATTGTTGCTGAATGAGCAGGATTATTCATTGATGTGTTGTTTCCTCGTGTACTCTAGTGACACGTGTGACTCAACGTCGCCGTCTACAGGTTTGGAGCGGAAGTGCACATTTACAGAGGGCGCTGTGACCATTGAAATGAATCGTCAGGAATGTACGCATGTAGCATAATTTGGATCAACAGCAGACCATGATGTGCAGGGAGTACACGAACCCCTCCAAAAGACTGGAGACAAAAAAATGATTTATGTACCAAATCAAATACATTTATTTATAATATTAGATGTTTTGCTTGTAAGTGAAGTCGTAAAAGGATCATAAAATAGGTTACCAACGTTTGTGGTTCTAGGGACTATCTTTCTCCCCTGTTCCAGCTGAAATACCCCCTCCTTCTCTATCTCTTTTTTTTTCTCTCTTTCCCGTCTTTCTCCTCCAACTCCCAATTTGAGCCTGCAGCGCTGCAGCTCTGGTTTCCATGGCAACGCAGAGCAAGAGCCACATCTTGAATCAGCCATGGTTTCCTTCATTAATAGTTATTGATCAAGTGTGATAATGCTAACAACATCAACTCAGGAGCACAGTGCAGGACTGCATATGCCCATCGCTCTTGACCACTGGAAGCAGAGAAAGAAACAGCCCAGCATGTAAATGTTGATACTGGCCACTGCAGTGTGTGTTGCATAAACTGAGCAAGACCAACAACTGTGAAGCACAACATACAAATGTGAAGCATAATAAACAACATACACTTTTAAAATGTATATTTAATGTATACTCCTGCAAAAAACACAGTGATTTGATGTTTTAACTGATGGGGTTGCCAGATATGCTGCTCAGCGCTTCATGCATCATTAGAAATGCTAACAACTCTTCTGATGCTATGAATCATTCTGACAAAGCAGCTAGAGTGAGTGTTGTAATATGTATTTACCTGGTTGTAGTGTTGCGGTTTTTGGGGAATTTGGGTTGCCAAGGTTACGCAGAAATAGTGATGAAATCGTGACAGGAATACGCCTGTGTTCTGACACTCTCCTCAAAGCCATGCTCCACACAAACTTGTCGCCTTGACAACCTGATTTAATGATGAGATCCTCCCCTACAACTATCTTTGAAAACCAGACACCTCTATAGGAGAAAGCAGCAAACAGTAATCTCACAGATTACTTCAGTACATCCTTCTCCTATGATTAGACGAGACACTGTTCTGCCATTTCAAAAGGGGAAGGCTGGTTTGTATTGCGCACAAACGGTCGGCATTCATGCAGTTCTGATGACCTTGAATGCCGATGAAGGTGACACAGCATCACATTTGTAACTAAAAATCACATTTACAGCTAAACAGTCCAGAGGAAACTGGAGTGCTCATGGCACCATTGTGTAATGTTCTTATTATTTATTATCTGTTATTATTGAGGTCTTATGCACTGTGCTTTACATGTTTAACTGGTGTTGCATAAATAATCACAAATATCTATACTAATAAAGAGATTTGAAGATGCAGCACTGAGATTGCTGCTGCATTGTACAAGTCACTTGATATCCTAATGTGACTAATGAAGTAGTGTCGTGAAATAGTGACATGTTCAGTATTGCCTTAAAGTTTTGTACTGCTGTACTTCTGTACTACTGTTTTGTAATCATGTCTTATCTATATATATGCAGTACTGCCAATATACTGGAGCCTCTGTGTAAGCATATAAAATGTAGGACAGTAGTGTGAATTTAAAAGCTGCTACAATGCAGACAGCACACTGAATGAAGGCGAGAATACGAGGGCATGGAAAAGTGATCATCCCTATGTCATATTCCCTTCAAAGGCGTCACCTTTCAGAGCTTTGGAGGATTGAACATGCATTTTAAAATCATCTTCGCAGAATTTAAAACAAATAAACAAACACACAAAAAAATACATATGCAGAATGAAAATAATTTTTATCTTAAAAAAAACATCAGCATCTTGACATAACCAATTAACCATGTTCCAATACAACAGGTGCTGAAATATCAACAAGTCTAAAAATTCATGTCTGTGACACATTACACTCTCTAGTAGGCCCTTTTTCTGTCACAGACAGCAGATGCCTGATTTATCGGGTGAGTAAGACATGCTTTTAATGAGGTGTTGTGTGCAAAGAAAAGATGTACTTGTCTCCTGTGGGACCTGTGAAGTCACTCTGACCTGTATTAAACAAGACATGGTATAATAACACATCGGCATATGCGAGTTTGAGCCCTTACACCCTGACATTAGGCTACCGACCTGTTACATTCATTTTGTCTGCATTGTGGATGTTTTCGCATCTTAAAACACATGCTGCTGTGAGACCGAATGTATCCAAATGCAAAAGGAATAATGATCGAAGTCTGAATTCCTTAAGTTCTAAAGGACTGGAAACACTGGGATCCTTAACTAGATATCTTCATGGTAAAAGAACATCCCTTTGATCTTTTATTTTCATCATACATTGGATTTAATAAGTTGTCATGAGCCTTGTGCAGAGAAAATGAGCCCTTGGGTCTGTTATAATGAAATGTGCTGCTACTAAACACCAACAGAAAACAACTGATTTTATTACTCACAGAGTTGGTACTCTGGGCCTCTAAATTAATTTTAGTTGTCCAGAAAAATTGGCTAGGTACCAATAAATGATAATTATTATTATTAACAGCAAAAAAAAAAAAAAAACAGCTTTGTTATAAAACCCAGTCTTTAATTGATACACTGTACAATCATATAGCCTAGCGTTTGGGGAGCAATTAACTAACATAATTTTTAGCTGGTGTGTTTTAATAATGTCAGAGCTGAGGGTATGGTCAAATGCTTTCACTTTAACAGTCCCTTTCTGTCTGTCATTAAGCGCTGGAAAGTTAATCGTTCATCCTTAATGATCCTCTTTTTCGTAAGTATCGTTGGGAAGTCCGAATTATTCTAACGACTTCAATTCGATCGTAAACAGTAAGTTTATTATAGGTTCATTTGAAAATTCTGAAATTATAGTGAATCGGTTCATTCATAACGGTGTGTTCTATCAAAGTCCGATGCATTACAGAATAAAAGCTTTCACCGATTCGAGTCCCTGTATTGTGTATGTACCGTTTTCACCTCAATTAGCCTATGTACATAAGGATGTTTTTGTTGTATCACTCTATTGTTCATATGTTTGTCTTTTTGTGCCAGAAATTCTGTTCAGTATGAATTATTTAAAATATCATTAGATATTTTTTTATTTTCATTTATAAAGTACGCTTAAATGCAGTTAGCTACTTTTTGGTTGTAGCTTAGTGTAGCTAAATCTTTTATCACTACGAATTAGCTTAGGCATATAGCTTGGCAAGGTACAATTTCAAAGTAACAATAAAAACAATCAGTATCCGAGGTGTGTCTTCAACATATCAAATATGTATGTCTCTGAGTGTGTGTGTGTGTGTGTATATAGCAGGCACACAACACACTTTAATAATAATAATAATTCGTTACATTTATATAGTGCTTTTCTAAGCACTCAAAGCGCTCTACATTGTGAGGGGGGATCTCCTCACCCACCACCAGTGTGCAGCATCCACCTGGATGATGCGACGGCAGCCATAGTGCGCCAGAACGCCCACCACACACCAGCTTATTGGTGGAGAGGAGACAGAGTGATGAAGCCAATCAGTAGATATGGGGATGATTAGGAGGCCATGATGGTCAGAGGCCAATGGGAAAATTTGGCCAGGATGCCGAGGTCATTCCTCTACTCTTTTCGAAAGACATCCTGGGATTTTTAATGACCACAGAGAGTCAGGACCTCGGTTTAACGTCTCATCTGAAGGACGGTACTTTTTTACAGTATAGTGTCCCCATCACTATGGGCGCTAGGACCCACACAGACCACAAGGTGAGCACTCCCTGCTGGCCTCACTAGCACTTCTTCCAGCAGCAACCTAGTTTTCCCAGGAGGTCTCCCATCCAGGTACTGACCAGGCTCAACCCTGCTTATCAGTGGGCGACAAGTCTTGGGCTACAGGGTGATATGGCTGCTGGATATTGGACTTTACAATAGGCTATAGCACTGAGGCCTAGAATGGCATCTTTTGATTAATTGTTTACAGGAATAATCAAGGAAACATACCACGTATGAACATCCACACAGAACGCAATTTACAGCAGTCTCACTGCCATGGCAACTGCTGAGGCGGTCGAGAAGTGATCACTTTAAATTCATACCTTATGGATATCTCTTCATTATTATTTTAAAGATTTGGTGAAAACGGTTGAGGAAATTTTAATAATGATAATAATAATACACATTTAAGTGGCTTCTTTTATTATCATAAGATCTTATACAATGTCATCCCTTTACAATAATTATAATAATTTCTTCTCATATCCTACCACGCAAAATTAGATAATTTATTTTTCAATATCTTACTGCAGATTTATTCAAGCATAAAATGTGTCATTTCTAATAACAAGAAAGAAGCTGTAGAAATAGTTAACTTTGGGATTCAGCAGATGTGTGTGTGTGTGTGTGTGTGTGTGTGTGTGTGTGAGAGAGGTAAGGGAGGGTTTGTTAGAGCAAGAAACAATTGAGGTACGGCTGCAAGAGGTATCCAAGGCAACCAGGTAACCACATCAGCTCAACAGTACAAAGATATAAATAAAAACTTAAATCATTAACATTCTCTTCTGCAACTGCTTATTGCCTAAATTTATTAAACCCAGTCTTAACAGCCATACAGTTGTTTTCTGGGCTATCATCTGTGTCAGTGCATTACATAAATGTTGTTTATGCATTTCTTATTGCTTATGAGTCTCACACATACACACACATTTTGGCTCTTAGTGACCTAACAGCATCACAGGCAGGCGTTATGATTCATACTGATCTTGCCATTCATCATAATGACACTTCAACCGCGCCATCAAACTGCAGTACTGCAGGACCGTACCACTTCCACACAGCATCACCACAACCAACAGTGTGTGTGTGTGTCTAAGAGAGAGAGAGAGAGCCGACTGGAGCAGAGCCAACAGGAGCTGATTTTGAAGCTCCCTTTCTTCT